AAATTTTTAATTCATTGTATTTTTTAAATTCATAACTCTTATTTACTTCTTATTCTTAGCTTTTGTATCAATTAATGGCTTTCGTCACCCTCGAGTGTCGGCCAGCACGTGTCTATCCTGGTATTCGAGGAATATCAGGGTCGGGGCGTGTCATCAAATGTCTACTACGTGCCCAATATGAAAAGCAACATTTTGAGCTTGGGTCAACTCTTAGAAAAAGGTTATGATATTAACATGAAAAATTATAGCCTTTTTCTTAGAGATGACAAAGGAAGATTAATTGCCAAAGTAAAAACGTCAAAGAATAGGATATTTCCTATGAATATTCAAAACGATGTTGCAAAGTGTCTTAAGATATGTTACAAAGACGCATCCTAGCTTTGGCATCTTCGTTTTGGGCATCTTAACTTTGGGGGATTGGAGTTATTATCCAAGAAGGAGATGGTGAGAGGCTTACCGTGCATTAGTCACCCTGATCAAGTTTGCAAAGGATGTTTACTTGGGAAACAGTTCAGGAAAAGCTTTCCAAAGGAGTCGACCACAAGAGCCCAGAAGCTACTCGAGCTCATTCACACCGATGTGTGCGGTCCAATAAAACCAAGCTCTTTGGGTAAAAATAAATATTTCCTTCTCTTCATTGATGATTTTTCAAGAAAAACCTGGGTGTATTTCTTGAAGCAGAAATCAGAGGTATTTGGAGCATTCAAGAAGTTCAAAGCCACTGTAGAAAAAGAAAGTGGTTGCAAGATCAAAGCCATGAGATCTGATCGAGGAGGAGAATTCACTTCGAAGGAATTTCAAGAGTTTTGTGAAGCAAATGGAATTCGTCGACCTTTGACAGTTCCAAGATCCTTCAACAAAATGGTGTGGCGGAAAGAAAAAATCGAACTATCCTCGACATGGCTCGAAGTATACTCAAAAGTAAGAGATTGCCCAAGGAGTTGTGGGCAGAATCGGTAGCATGTGATGCATACATATCAAATCGGTCTCCAACAAGAAGTGTGTGGGGAAAAACTCCGCAAGAAGCATGGAGTGGAAGAAAGCCGGGTATCTCTCATCTAAGAGTTTTTGGAAGCATAGCCTATGTACATGTACTAGACGAGAGGAGAACCAAACTCGACGACAAAAGTGAGAAGTTCATCTTCATCGGCTATGACTCAAATTCAAAAGGCTATAAGCTGTATAATCTAAACAATGGGAATATGGTGATCAGTCGAGACGTGACGTTCGATGAAGAAGGAGAATGGGATTTTGGCTCTCATGCAGGTGATCTCAGCTTCTTTCCTCAGTTTGAAGAAGAAAATGAACAAGGGATGATGGAGCAAACAAGAGAGGTTCAACAAGAATCCACTACTTCACCTGTTTCACCAACATCAACCAATCATGGTAGTTCACCAGCATCATCATTGTCAAGTGGAAGCCTAAATGAAAGAGAAGTACCACGCACAAGAAGTCTACGAGATCTCTATGAGGTAGCTGAAAGACTTGATAATCCTACACTTTTCTGTCTCTTTGCTGATTGTGAACCAGTCGACTTCGAAGAAGCAGTGCAAGATAATAAGTGGAGGAAAGCAATGGATGAAGAAATCGAAGCAATCCAGAAAAATGATACTTGGGAACTCACTATTCTTCCGAAATGACACAAAGCCATCGGAGTCAAGTGGGTGTATAAGACAAAGAAGAATGCCAACGGAGAGGTCGAAAGATACAAGGCGAGATTAGTGTCGAAGGGCTATTGTTAAAGAGCCGGAATCGACTATGAAGAGGTATTTGCACCCGTTGCTCGGTTGGAAACTATACGATTACTAATTTCTTTGGCAGCTCAAAACAAATGGAAGATTCAACAAATGGATGTGAAGTCCGCTTTCCTAAATAGAGTCCTTGAAGAAGAAGTCTACATTCAGTAACCATCAGGCTATGAAATCAAAGGGCATGAAGACAAAGTTCTGAAACTGAAAAAAGCCCTCTATGGGTTAAAACAAGCGCCACGAGCATGGAATAGTTGCGTTGACAAGTACTTCCAAGAAAACAACTTCATCAAGTGCCCTCATGAACATGCTCTCTACGTCAAAGTCAAAGATGAAGATATTCTGATTGTGTGCTTATATGTGGATGATCTAGTCTTCATTGGAAGTGATCCAAGCATGTATGAAGAGTTCAAGAGAGTGATGACCAAAGAATTCGAGATGACCGACATCGGGTTGATGGCATACTACCTAGGCATTGAAGTCAAGCAGAACGAAGAAGGTATTTTCATCTCCTAAGAAAGCTACACAAAAGAGATACTGAAAAAGTTCAAAATGGACAACTGCAAGCCCATAAGCACGCCAGTGGAGTGCGGAGTCAAACTAACCAAGCATGACAAAGGAGAAAGTGTAGATCCAACATTTTTCAAAAGTCTAGTTGGAAGCTTGCGTTACTTGACTTGCACAAGACCAGATATTCTCTATGCCATCGGATTAGTCAGTCGCTACATAGAGAATCCCACAACTACACATTTGAAGACAGCCAAAAGAATTCTTCGATACCTTAAAGGTACTATTAACTTTGGCTTATTCTATTCAAATTCTGATAACTACAAACTTGCTGGATATAGCGACAGTGATTGGGCAGGAGATTCCGATGATAGAAAAAGCACTACTGGATTTGTGTTCTTCATGGGAGACATTGCATTCACATAGATGTCGAAGAAGCAACCGATTGTCATTCTTTCTACCTGCGAAGCTGAATAAGTAGCTGTTACCTCATGTGTCTGTCATGTAATTTGGCTGAGAAACTTGATAAAAGAATTAAGCATGCCACAAGAAGAGCCTACAGAGATCTATGTCGACAACAAGTCTGCAATAACTCTAGCAAAGAATCTAGTATTTCATGACAGGAGCAAGCACATAGATACCCGTTATCACTACATAAGAGAGTGCATTGCAAGAAAGGATGTGCAAGTGGAATACGTGAAGTCTCAAGACCAAGTCGCTGACATATTCACCAAGCCACTCAAACAAGAAGACTTTATCAGACTGAGGAACTCAATCGGCGTCACAAGACAAGATTAAGGGGGGATGTTGAAATGTAATCTTGTTCTTAGCCCAAGAAGATGATCCAGCCCATAGAAAACTTATGAAATGTGCTAGAAAATGCTAGCAAAAGGTTGTCGGTGCATTAGGCATGCATACTAAAAAATCTGGAGAGTTCTTGCAATATTTAAGTAGGCTTGCAAGTAGAAATATCTAGAATAATTAAAACTTGTGGCTAGGAAGAACTTAGTCCAATTGCACCGACTTGGTGAGTCGGTTAATGCTTGCCTATAAATTTAGGTGTGTGTGTGTGTGTGTGTGTGTGTGTGTGTGTGTGTGTGTGTGTGTGTGTGTGTGTGTGTGTGTGTTATATGTAGCAAGAAGAAGTGAGAGCAAGTAAGAGAGCAAGAAGTGAGAAAAGAGTGAAGAAGTGTAAAAGTGTTTGAGTGTTTCCTCTTGTACTAAGTTTGTGAGTGAATAAAAATCTTGTGTAATACTTTGAGTGTTCTTTCTTTTTTTTGCCTATCAATTTCGCTGTATTACATTCTCCTTTGTGAGATAAACATCTCCAAAGTAGTGAAGTCTTTTAAGCTCCAACAGTGGCTTCCAAGGTCCAATTCCATCGAGCATTTCTGTCTTGAGTAATTTAAGAGAACTGTGAGTTCTGCATTCGATCCTAAGTTGCATTAATACTAAAATAACGTAATCTGGGTTTACATGTTTATCATTGTTAGAGTATAGTGTTTGAGATTGAGACACTTGTCATGATCCTATTATACTAGTTAGTTAGATATTTCTCTAGCTTGTAACAGACTAAATAAGTCTAACCTCATGTAATTACTTGGTCATCAAGAAATATAAACATTGTTCTTCTTCTCTCTCTAAGATTCTCTTCACTTTCTCTAAAACTCCTCTTCTATTCTTCCTTCAGTATACAAGATTACAGTGTATGAATGATCAATTGATATAGCTTAACATGGTATCAATTGCCATTGTAGCTTATGCTTGAAGTTTTTTATCCTTGCTGCTTCCGCACTCTTTCTCTTGGATCGATTATATTCTTGGATTCGATACTCCGTCTTCTCTAACTTCCTATCGAACGGACCTTTTTTAATGCAGAAGGATCAGTGATATAGGTGGAGAGGGTTCAGACTTTCCACCCTTGAGTAGTATGACAAGCATGAATAGATTGTAAGTCGTGAAAGTACTGTATTTTCTTGTAATTTTAGACTAATCATTACTTAGTGTGCACTTTTGCCAATATAATGTTGCAGAATGTTGAGGAGCTGTGGCTTGTCTGGAATTATACCCGATTATATACCGACAATGGCAAACTTGCAAATATTGTAATGCTACTGTTCTCCATTTTTCATTTTGTTCTTTTTCTTGTTCAAGTGCGCAGAAAAATTATTTGATATCTTTACTCACGAGCTGGCTAACGAGTTCATTCTCTTCAGTTAATCAGGCATCCATGTAACAAAAATTTAGTTATTTTGATCTCAGCTTCAACAATTTGGTAGGAAACATTCCTGATATGGCTGACCTGTCAAAATTGCAGTAGCCGTAAGAAACATCAAAATTTCTTTATTTGTTTATCCAGTCAATATTTCGTCTGTGTAACTATCCCCTTGGAATAGTAATTATGTAGTTTAACTGAATGTGACAATATATTAATTGTTTCCGGAATAGATATCTCACAAGCCTATTCCAGACTGGATCATGAAGAGAGATAGTCAAACGTATGGTTTCCATCATATTATCAGATTGCTAGAGTTTGTTTTTCCATGGAATCCGGCAACATTATATTCTTCTAATTCATTGTAATGTTATACATAACGGGTACATACGCTTTGGATGTACTGTTTGCGTAGACTGACAGAAGCATATATTTGTGTCTCTTGAAACATTTAGCTGACCAATGACTAACATTTAGCAGACAACTTTATAGACACTTTAACATTTACTTTTCTAGTAGAGGCCGGTATAATGGCTTACGAATTTACTTTGTATGTGTGCAGTCAGATGGATCTTTCTGACAATAATTTTTCTCAGATCTCCGAGCAGCCAACTACTTGTAGACAACAATTGTAAGAACAGTTTTCTGATAGTTGATGTGCTCAGCAAAGTTCACTGTTTTCACTCACCTGAGTCACCTCTAATTTTCTTTTGGACCATGTATATATAAGGAACTTGTTCAAAAGCTTTTTCGGACAAGGCAACTTGTAAGGTTTCTAACTAGATTAGTCTTCAACGTGGGAGCGATTTTCTTTTCCTTTTCATTATGTCGACTTCAAGTTTACATAATAAGCTAATTTTTACTACACTAATGTAGATTATCTGGAGGGTGCCTGGAAAAACTTTCGTGTCCAAAAGGTAAACAACATATGTATTCGATTTAAAATATGATTATAATTTAAACTTTTTAGTTACGTACCCAACTGGGATAATTACAGTTTTCATCAGATGATGGGAAAGGGTATTTTCTATAATCTGACTATAATTGATAAAATATTGATAATCTTTGAAGAGGAGTACTCATTACATATTAACTGTGGAGGAAGTAAAACCACTGTTGGAGGAATTATATTTGAAGAGGATCTAGACCCGGGTGGTGATTCATATTTTGTTCCGGTGATACCTAATTGGGGAATCAGTACCACTGGACGTTTTTGGGACGTTAACGTCACCTCCCGGCTATACATTACAAATAATATGTCCGTGCTTGAATTGAACAACTCAGAGTTGTACACGAGTGCACGCCTATCTCCTCACTCTCTCACATATTATGCACGTTGCTTGGGGAATGGAAATTATACCGTGAAACTTCACTTTTCGGAGATAATAATCAGAGGCAACAAATCTTTTTACAGTTGGCTTTTCTGCACGAGGAGTCGGCACTGAAGGTTGTACATAGAGACATTAAAGCTACAAATATATTGCTAGACCCAGACCTCAACACAAAGATCTCTGACTTTGGTTTGGCCAAGCTTGACGAAGAGGAGAACACTCACATTAGCACCAGAGTTGCTGGAACCATGTAAGCGTGCTGCTACTATATTTACATGCTTATTTATTGAAATGTTCCCTGGAACTAAAGTTGTGTCTAACTCCTTGAAATTGAATTTGTTGTGTAGAGGATACATGGCTCCAGAATATGCATTATGGGGTTATTTAACATATAAAGCAGATGTTTACAGTTTTGGCGTAGTTGCATTAGAAATTGTTGCTGGAAAGAACAACATGAAGTATCGACCAAATGAGAACTTCGTATGCCTTGTGGATTGGGTAAGACCTTCATTCTAAGAGCTTGAGTACATGCCAACGTTGAGTAGCTAATCTCGGCTAGTCTTTTTTTCTGCTTATTTCAGGCTCTTGTTTTACAACAAAGGGGGAACTTAATAGAGCTAGTGGATCCAAGGTTGGGGTCGGATATTGAAGTGGAAGAGGCGCTTACAATGGTCAAGGTAGCTCTCTTATGCATCAATCCAGCACCAGCTCTCAGGCCGACCATGTCTGCAGTAGTGAGCATGCTTGAAGGACGGACACTTGTTCGTGAATCAGTCATGAACCCAAATATTTACGGCGATGAACTGAAGTTATCAACCTTGAGAAACCCGTTTGATCCGACTGCAAAGGGGGGTACAAGTGGAACTCAAAGCCTTGTTGGTTCATCAGATGCAACATGTATTAATTCTTCTGCTACTACGTCCTCAGTTCTCTACAAAATTGGTCCTAGTAGTAGTACATCTACTTAGTAATTAACGTAAACCTTGTTATGCGCTCAAGTATGCAAATTCTCGTGTCATGATAAGTAGTACATTCAGTTTCCAATATCAAAGCTTCAGCTTGGTACTTTTGATTACAACTTTGGGTGCAAGAATAAACACTCTTAACCAATTGAGCCAACTCTAAATGGTTTGCTACATTCACGAAGTATAAGTTCTATGTAACAAACCAACTGGAGAAAGAAATAATACAGTAATTTTAAGTGATTCAAATTCAGTACAATTTTTGCGTATATGATTGTCAGGATCAAGCTGTCAATTTTCCACTTGTCATGGTTTAAGTTCTAAGGAATTACAGCAGGGACGCAAGGTTGAATAATTCAAAGTTGGTTTTTCTCGCTCAATATGCAACATGGATTGGTTCTTGTAGAATTTTTCAAGTCGACGGGCCGAGGGCCCACTCTAACAACATCGATACTGTCCCCACTTAACCACCTACACAATCCTCAGGTGTGGGGTTTTATCACAAAAGGCCTCAATGTCAGTTAGAGTGGGGTAATTCTATAAATGGGCTTTCTTCTTCCCTCATGGCTGATGTGGGACAATTGAAGGTTCCAACAGTTCTTCCGCTACCACTACGTCTTTAGACATCTACAAAATTAGTCCTAGTTCTTGTTAAAGCATCCCAACCAAAACTAAGCAAAGCCGTCAAGTTCAAAGAAGCTCAATCATGGCCACCTTCATGTTTAGGTCCACACACCATACTCCAATCAACATTTACCAACTTCAGGGAAGCCAAGTCACCTAACCAAATAAAATTCCTTTCGCAAGCAGAAAGATTCTTTAATAGGCAAGTTGGTAATTGATAAATTGAGAAATTATGGGAAACTTTGATAAGTAGATTGCACCAATTGAAGCCGTCTAGCCATTGAGGGAAGTTTACCTTTCCAACCCGAGAGGCGAGATTTAGCCTTATCTACCAAAACTTGAAAGTGAATTCTCCTTGGCTTACCACGAAAAATAGGTACCTCAAGGTAAGTGAAAGGAACAATACCCAAACGAAAGCCAAGATGTCCCGAGATATGCGCTCTACAATGGGCAAAAGAGGAGCCGAGATAAAAAGTACTCTTAGTGGCATTAATAAGCTAACCCAATGCACAACCATACTTATCCAACAAACTTCGCAGAGCACGAAGAGATCGAACATTCCCATGACAAACAATAAAAAGATCATCAGCATATAACACATGAGAGGGAGGGCAACAACCTTGCGGAGATGAAATAGCAGTATTTTGTCCAGTAGAAAAAAGCAAAGATAAACCTTTGCTAAGAGCTTAGCTTCCTCTGCCAGACAAAAAAAAAAGTAGTGGAGAAAGAGGTCTCCCTGATGTATCCCCTGAGAGCAAGACAAAAACCCATGCAGTGTGCCATCTACCAAAATTGAAAGGCGAGCTAACTATAATAAGACATGCACCCAGTAAAAAATACGAGAAAAACCAAAGCTAGAAAGCACCTGGAGAAGAAAATCCTAGTTCAAAGTATCAAAAGCTTTAGCAATGTTGACCTTAATACCCAAATTACCACCAAAAGCCTTTTTGTCCATAAAATGGAACCCTTTTGAAACTAGTCCAATGCAATCAGAAATGCGTCTACCTTTAAAAAAAATCATTTGTTGTGGAGAAATAATGCGAGTGGTGATAGGGCCAAGCCGATCAGCAAGAATCTTGGGAATAATTTTGAACAAAAAGTTAGCAAGAGCAATGGGTTGATACTGAGCAATAGTGGCAGCCCCTTCTAGTTTAGGATAAGCACCACAAAGTTACAATTAGCATTCGGATAAAACCATCCACGCTTAAAGAAATCTTGTACAGAAACAATAACATCCAAACCAATAATATCCCAACATGGCTGATAGAAGGAACCAAGAAAGCCATCAGGTTTCGGAGTACTCGAGAGATCTATAGAAAAAAACAAGCCTTTTAATTTCAGCTAAGGGTAAACAAGAAAGAGAAAGATTTTCCTCTTCACTAACCATAGTTGGAATTACATGACAAACATCTTCAATTCCACTTGGAGTGAACAAAGAATTATATAGACCTGATAAAAGTTTACCACATGATCAACAATAGCAATAGGATAAGAGAGTACATTATCACCATCCAAAATTGTAACAATCCTGGAAGAAGAATGCCTACCTTGAGCATAAGCATGGAAAAAACAGTATTACAATCACCCTCAGTAAGCCATTTAACTCGAGCACGATCGCACTAGAAAGCTTCTTGCATAAGAAAAGCATCGAGGACAATTGCCTTAGCCACAACTTCTTCATTAAGCCTCTCTTGAGAATTCCCCGAAAAAGAAATAGGATTTGGATATTATGAAGTCTTTCCTTCGCAATAGTGATATTTCTATGGACATCTCCAAAAACATTAAAGTTCCAACCTCGAAGACAACGCTTTTGAACCTTGAGCTTTTCCAACATAACAAACATGGGACACCCATAGGCAACAGTTGACTGCCAACTTAGCAACCAAAATAGAAAAGTCTGAATGTAAAGTCCACATGGACTGAAATTAAATGTGTCACGATCCACTAAGAAGAAAAGCAGAAGGCGAGAAAACAAGACAATTATGATAAAAAAACCACCCTAGGCAAAGCTAAACAACTAGTTTGAGGCCAAGAATGTAACCAGCGTGAGTCACAAAGAGAGCAGTCAGGACGCCTCTCCATATAACCATAGACACTCCGACCATTAGTCCAAGTATAAAAAGCACTAGAAGTATCCATATAAGTAAAATCACAAAGCTTAGTAGTACTACGAAAGTCCTCACACAAAGATCGAGCAAGCAAGTGACCACCCATCTGCTCATATGCTCCAAGAATAGCATTAAAGTCACTAATTGCCGTCCACGGTACTCTAGTATTAGAACACAAATTTAAAAATTGCACCATAAAGCACAACGAAGGCTCGAAGTAGTAGCCACATAAACAATAGTAAACTGAGAAAGAACACCATCAAAAGAAGCCTGAAAAATAATTTGTTGTCCTAAAGAAGAAATCATGGTAAGAGAACGATGACCTGTAGAATACAAACCCAAATATTAGGCAGTAAATCACCATTGTTATTAGCAGTAAGCAAAGAGAAACCTAATGAATTCTAATAAGCAGAAAGAATAAAATCAAAAGTAACCATAGGTTCAGAAATGCAAACCAAATCCAAATGATGGGAACGACACATTGGGAAGCTCCATACTTTTATCAAAATTACCAATAAGGCGAATATTCCAGTACACTAGCTTCATTTGTAGGTAGAAATAACTTGTCTACCTGCCCTAGTAACATAGAGTTCTTCTTGCCTAGCTGCATCAACTTTCTATTTTTTCTTTTGCTTCTTCTGCTGAGATTTACTAAGAACTAAAGTAAAGTCATTGGGATCCTTCCCTGCATCCACAACATTGATCTCTTGTATCGAACCAAAACCAGGTAGGACATCCCCATCATTATCAGAATCTACGTGATCAATATTATTTTCTTTAGTAAGCTCATCACCAATCTCCCTTGAAAGAGTATTGTTCAAATTACGAGGATGGGAAACAAAGGTGTTATCAATATTATTTGTTGGTTGTAACTCTAGTAGCAATCTATCTGAAATTGTCTCGATGCTCTGCTAACGAAGCAATTGTCCTGTCGGCCAACACAATTTACTCATTATTCACAACACTCATTAGAATTTGATTCGCAAAATCATTAACTTGTTCAACATGCTGTTGCTTGAGCGAGCTACAAAGTGGGACCTTCATATTTTTAAGTTTTGGGCATTAAAAACTTGTTTGGTAAGATTATTTTAAAAAACTGAACTTAAGGCTAACTTAAATATATAGCTTATTCTCTAAAAACACCAAAAGTGAGTTTTTAAACTAAAAGTTCACTCATTTCGTTTTCCTTTCCTCCCCTCTCACTCCAAATTTCTCACTCATTTCGTTTTCCTCTCCTCCCCTCTCACTCCAAATCTCTCTCTCTCTCTCTCTTCTTCTATCTTTATTGTTTGTACCATACTTGACCAATCTCGAAACTATTGAGCACTGGTCAACGTTATACCATCAAGGATCCAGAAGAGTTTCCCTCCAACCAGGAGGCTAATCACAGCGCGACATGTGTCGACATCAGAAGCCAATCATAGCGCAACACATGTCAACATCAAAAGCCAATCACAACATGACACGTGTCAATGTCAGAATGAAACTAGAAACTCTCTCCTAATGTTATTTGTACTAAATCATTCACTAGTACTTACTAAAGGAGAGCTTGAACCTATGTACTTGTGTAAACCTTTCACAATTAATGAGAACTCATCTACTCCGTGAACGTAGCCAATCTGGGTGAACCATGTACATCTTGTGTTTACTTCCCTATTTCTATTCATTTACATACTTATCCACACTAATGACCGAAGCAATCTAGGGAAGGTCACAAACTTAACACTTTATGTTGTACCAAAGTCCTCATTAATTTTGGCCATCAACATTTGGCGCCGTCTGTGGGAACGACACTTATTCCCACTCTCTTCAGCTTTGCCAAGCTGGTTTCCACCATTCATACACTCTCTTTTGACCAGGCATCCCTCTCCAACATGGGAAGTGAAGGAAGCCACAACACATAGAATGACACCCCTCTTGCACATAGTGCAAAGCAACGAAAGAATGAAGGAAAAAGGGTTGCTCTTCAAGCTAAAGTTGATGAACTAGAAGCTCAGAACAACAAGATAGCAATGAAGAATAAGGTCCTCTATGAGCAGTATGAGAATCTCTTTGAGACGCTCCACGAAATTAGGCGTACTCAAACACGCGAACTCGCTGCCCCTGTGGACATCAACCATCATCTGGGTGCCCCCCAACACGGAGGGTCACCTCCCTTCGACATGGGTATCACTGATGAGGAGCGAGCTAATCATCAAAACATTGATCAACATGAGACTTTTCTTAACCTAGATGCTTCTACCCGAAGCAGGAGAAATTGAGGAAGACACCTTCTTGCAAAAGGGTTGGAAGGATCGAAAGCCGTTTATCGTAACTACCGAGACTTCCTAAAGCAACATCGAAAGAATCCCCTCCACATATGCCAGAAGATCAATGACCCAAGGGTTTCTGAAAGACTCGGTCCTCTCCCACGACCCAGG